GGCCCCGCCCCACGGGCACCGCCCCCCACCCGCGGGCGGGGGCGGCGGCGGCCGCGAGGCGCGCGCGAGAAATGGAAATGGAATTTAATGGGATGTCTCTCAGCACGCCTCTCACGTGTCACGGCCTTGTTCTGCTCCGAGCTGCCCTGCCCCCGCTGCTCCCGCTCCACTGTGCGCAGTATGGCGCAGTGACACGAGAAATGCACTCGACTTCTGAATATTATGGAATGCGTCGAGAGCGCCAGTCGCGTTATAAAATGGTGTGCACGGCGGCACCCTTCATAATTTAGTGTGTGTAATACACGTGCCGCGTTGAATTCATGGGCACTGTGTGTCAGGTTGTAAATGTTTACGACCGTGTATATTTTGCGGTGCATGTTATTATCATTGCCCGCTTTAGACTGACAGCAGTGTAGGCTGCTCGCGTTACCTCATCATTGGGTTCGCATGCCCCCACCGCCCCGCTTTCTCGGCCGATAGCCTGCATGCCGCTGCTCCGGGGCGCGCGGGCGGCCCTTGCTGCTGCTGGCGTCGTTGTTGTTGAATGGAGCACTCTGTCGTCGTGCTGCACAGACGGCTCATCGTCTTCTCTCTCCTCCCGCCTGCTCGGCGTCGACGTTACCTTCGCCGCGACGGCTCATTTGCGTCACACCGCCATGCTACACTGATAAATCGAGTGCTCATTCGGTAAACGTACTCAAGAAGTGCGACGACTGCACGTTGAACACTTGCAAGTGCTCTACAAACTTAAGTGTGTGACATTGGAACACTTAAAAGTGCATACAAAAAGTCACTCACACACAAGTGTGATCCAGTCACACTCTTTTGTGTCATACAAGTATACACTTTTTACGATTGGTCACACTTTTTTGTGGATGACACATTGCTCACACACTTCTTTTGTGTTTGACATTTTGGCACGCATTTCTATATTTGTAGAGTGCTCAACGCGGTTTATTGTTTGCTCATTCGTGCCAAGCTCCCTCGCAAGCTCCTTATGCCACACTTCTAATGGGCCAACCTCTGCGGGAAGTGAGCAACTGAGAGAACCTGCAAGTGCTAAAACTAACCGCAGTTGAACACTAGAACGAGCGCAGTTGCTCCCTCTAAACACTCCCAACTTTGCAGTTGATTTATCAGTGTGCTGACGGCCAACCTGTCGTCCCATGGTCAGCAGCGCCGGCGGTATCATCATCGCGTATGCGGGCTGGGCCCCCCCAAAGCGCCGCCGCCAGGGTCACACGGCCAGGGCCGGACGGGTGATTGGTGCCTGGCGCGCCTGCTCGGCTCACCTCGCGGCCGTGGCGAGCACCTTGACGATGAGCAGCACGCCCTGCACACTGACCAGGCCGGGCGGGTGATCGGTGCCTGGCGCACCTGCTCTGCTCACCTCGGGGCCGCGGCGAGCACCTTGACGATGAGCAGCACGCCCTGCACACCGGCCGCCGGCGGTGGTGATGACACACCGAGCCGGTCGTGATTGTGGAAGGTTCGAGGTACTTGTTCTCCGAGAGTCGAGTCGAGTCGACTAGACCACCGAAGGTAATGGATGATCGCCTATGATGAAGACACGTTCACTCCGTTTCGCTCGGCGGGACGCACGTGCGAGGAATGTTGTAATGGTCGCTCCACTCCACGCCACGCCGCGCCGCTCTGACCGTCCAGGGAATCACTTTCGCCCTCCGCACTGCAGGTGCACTGCACTTTTGGCCATGCGCTGCAACACGGCTTGTTTGTTGTTCCCCGATAACGGTGTAGGAAGTGCTGGCTACACTGTGCCGTCAGTGGTAAGACGTTCTCATCCCGCCCGCGGTGCTGGCCCCGCGGGCGCAGCGCAGACGTGTCGCCAGCGTGGTCGGAGTAGGTGATCTCGTTGGATGATTACATTGTAGTTTTATTCTCGTTTCATATGTGTCGGGCGTGAAGGCCACTCATGTGGGCTCGACATGCCGATGGCCGCCGGCCGATGTAATCTCCTCGTGACGGACGGGCCCGACCGCCGCGGTGCTGAGCGGAGCAGCGCGCCCGACGGCCTCTTCACAACCGACTCCAAATAGTGTAACCAGCCCCGTGATGAAATGGGGCGCTCGCGGGCGCGGGGGGCTTTCTCTGCCTGCTCGCGAGCAGCAAAAGCCCTATATGCGGCCCCACTTCCCTATATCCTATATATCCG